GCTTGCCACCAGAAATTCCTTGCTAGTTTAATTTATCCATTTGATCATGGACATTTTTTGAGTTCCATGAATTTATTCGGCTTTGGACTCGGAACAAGTTTTATGTTGTTGTTGCTTGGTTTCTAGTGTTTAATTTGATTCAATATCCAAAGTATTTTGTATCTTATAAAGATCTTTTAACTTTAAGTATCCTTGAAAGGAACTTTTAGTGTTGTCTAGGGACATTCCTACTGTGGAGTAGGCTTAATTTTTCATGGTTAATTTGTTGGCCTAATAGCTCTTCAAAATCCTTAAGAATTTTGCTAAGATCTTTGACTTGAGAAATGTATGCTTTACAAAAGAGAATGCAATCATCAGCAAACATCAGATGAGTAATGGGGGTGCCACCTCTACATAGTCTAACTCCCTCTATAATTCCATTTGTTATTGTTTGATTTAGCATCTATGTGAGAACCTCCATTCCAAGAATAAAGAGGTATGGTGAGAGAGGGTCACCTTGTCTAAATCATCTTTTCAGGTCGAAATATCCATGTGCATCACCTCCCAATTTGATGGATAAAGTGGGTGTGTTAATTCACTAGTGAATGAGCTTACACCATTTAGTGGAGAAGCTTGTTCTGTGTAGCACTTCATCATGTGAGTGCATGGTTCAAAGTATCGATACACCTTTGTGTATCGGTACTTAGAAACACACAGAAATACTTTTTCTTTTAGTTTTTTTTTTCAAAATTTGGTTTTTGGAGAGGTAAAAATGGATTTTTTTTATTAAAAAAGGGTTGGGTTAAGGTGTTTCAGGACCCAAAAGATATGATACGATATGCCCATATCAATTTTTTGAACCTTGTTGAGTAATTTCTTTGATAAGAAATATGTTATTTGCGATCTGTATGTCCTTGAGAAAGCCTGTTTGAAAGGGAGAGATGATATCATGTATAATGGGTTGCATTCTCATGACCAGCCACTTTGATATGATCTTGTAACTTATATTGCATAGGCTTATTGGACTATAGCTAATTGCATTTATTGGATGACTAGCTTTGGGTAAACACTAGATTTGTGTTGCTTATTTCCTTTGGGAGGTGTTCAATGGCGAAGAAGTGATGTGCCACATTAAAAACATCACTGCTGAGTGTATCCTAGTATTGTTGATAGAAGAAGGTTGTGAATCTGTTGGGACCCGGTGCCTTGTGGAGGGGGTGCTTTGTTTAACCACCCTTGTAATTTCCTCAAGAGAGAGTGGTTGTGAGAGTGATTGTCTTTGTTCTTCATTTAATTTGTGGAGAGGAGGGCAGGTAGCTGTGTTGGGTCAAAGTCTTCACTAACTCTCTCCACTGCCCGTGTGGTTCTAAAGTATTTCAGCTACCTTTGGCCAGCCAGTTACCCATTTTCAATTCCATCAGCATTTTTTATCAATTCTATTCCATTTTTTTTTCTATTTTTCCTGTTAGTTGTCTGGTGAAAAAATTTTATGTTTTTATCACCATCCCTGAGCCATAGTTCTCTAGAGATTTGTTATTTTTTCCTCAGCCATTAGTGATACTGACTTTGTAAGGAGCTTATCTCTTTTGCTCCGCCTTTAGTGGCGGGTTCCATTTGTATCTTGGTTGTTTGAGCTTGTAATCTGGTGAGGTGGTTTGGGATGATTCCAAAAGTTTCCTTGTTCCATTCTTTTAGAGAATGCTTACACAATTTGAGCTTATTGGTGCTGAATTGAAAGGCTGATGAACTAGAAATATTTCAATTTCCATACTTGGGTTATGAGTTGCTGGCATTCTGGGTTTTCGCTCCATATAGGGAGGAAGTGAAATTGGGGTCTTCTTGTTGAAGTTTGACAATTAGTTGTAAGCTTTATTGGTGCATGATGATCTGAGGAGATAATGGGTAGGTGCATGTTAAACCATGGCTTCTGGGAATAGATCCAACTAGTTTGGTACTTCCCTATTGACCATTTATCCATGTAAAAGTGGGCCCTACAAAATCCAAACCGGATAGCATGAAAGAGTGTACAAAGCTTTTCATGTGTCGGGATAGCATTGGGTTGGATTGTCTGTAATTTCTCATGCACAAGTGTAATGGAAATAAAAGCTATCGATGTTAAGGGTGCGAAGTACCTAATCATCTGTGCCTGGAATGAATTGGTAGTGATTCAAACTTGTTTTTTGGGTCAGTATTGATGTGTACACCATCCAAAAAGTTCAAACTTAATTGCCAAGGGTTTGCTGCTTGATCCATTCACGTCCGTGTTGGGGATCCATGCTGGCAACCACATGGATGGAGGGCAGTGTTTGCTCTAAGCTATTGATGTTAATTTGGCAGCTAGGAATTTTTTTTGTAGTCCATTATCAGTAGGTCAAGCCTTTTACATAGTCTGCACAACATTTGAGGTATCATGTGTACCTGTTGGGACCATAGTTTGCACAACATTTGAGGCTTCATTTTTTCCATTTATAGGCAATAATGGATAAAAATGAGTAACATTAGAATGAAAATTCAGCTCACAGCATAAAATTTGAGGTAACCTAGAAATATACTTATTCATGGGTTGGGTAACCCAACGGGCTTGGCTGGTTCGACCTATTATTTCCTAGGCATGGACATGTTTTAGGTCTATGGGCTCAGGCTCAGGCTTGGGCCTAAAAGACTAAACCCAACTTTTTTTTGGTCTGGGATCAGATTTTCTCAAAAAAGCCCGACCCAATAATATTTTATATAAATAAAAATATATTTTATATTCTTTTCTTTGTTCTTCTTCTCTTTTCTCAATCCATGATGAGATCTTTTAATATTTTTGGGCTTTGAGGTAGTTTATTATAAATAAATTAGTTTTTGGGCTTTGAGGTAGTTTATATATATATATATATATATATATATATATCATTGGTTTTTTAGATCTAGACCAATCGACCCCTAGCTGGTACCGTGTATTGTTTTGCTTTGTTTTTTTTTCATCAAAGTGTGTCAATATAATACATACATATGAAATATATGCCTATGTTAAATTAGGGGTATAATTGTTATTCCCCAAATAGAAGTACTTATGTGATAAATAGCTCGCCAAACATCACAAAATGAATAAGTACTAAAAATAATAATAATAATATATATATATAGAGAGAGAGAACCTCCCAAACACTAATAATCACTTATTTGAATACATAATTAAAATAAGTACTTATTCAATTAACTACTTATTTATATCCTTCTCTCTCTTTCTTTACTACTTCATAGGCTCAGTTTGGAAGGAGTACAAGTACAAATATATACAATATAAATACATACAAAATGTAAGGTTTTGCAGTCTATATATTTGCATTTATACTCCTTCCAAACTGAGCCATAATAACAATGAGATGGTTTGAACTCATTTTCCCTAAGGCCATCCACCGGTTATTTAAAACACTTCCACAAATTATTTTGTCATGTAAAATTAGGATTCTTTTACACATTTAGGGAGCAAAGGCCGGAGAGAGTAATAAAGAATTATTATTATTATTATTATTATTACTATTATTTATAAAACAGGATTTTAGTTCCAAAGAGAAAAATGAAGACTCTTAACTTGATTTAGATCATTAATTAAAAAATGAATACATGTTAAGAAAATCACCTTAAAATACAAATTAATGCGTATAGAAATATTCCATTAATTTAATAAATAATTGTTAATGGCCCAAGAAGCAGTCTTTGAGGGAAAAACTTTGGTTGTTGGGGTTCGGCTGGGCTACCCATCTACATGTTACTCCGCGTTATAACACTTGCGTAGTTTAAGTGACGTACAAAAAAAGTAAAGACAGGAGTGTTAATTTTCGTTACTTTTTTTTTTTACATTTTTTCAACATAAAAAATAAAAGAAAATCTTTAAGTTTGTTTATTCATAATTTTTGAACCGCTGTTGAATTGGACAGTCAGACTATTCGGCCTGAGAACCGTCTACACAACGGGTTTTGTTTTACCTCAAACCCAGTTCTTGGCCAAAAACTTTTAAATCGATCAATGACTTGTTGATCTGGGTAGTCGAACTCTTGACTCACTCAAACGATTTATGGCCATTTTTTATTTTAATTTTTTATGTCAAAACGGGGGCCATTCATTTGAATTGGACAGTTAAACTGGTGGCTAGAATGGATCGGACTGAACTGTTAGACTGGAAAAATCATCAATTTTACCCCATAACTGTTATTTTGCCAAAAACTACTGATTTGGTCAGCAAACCGCTAACTCAGGCGTTCGAACCATCCAATGGTTTTGCCAGATTTTTATTTTTTTATTTTTTTTGTCAAAATGGGTCTCCAAGTAGGTTTCCAACAGATGACCCATTTTGACAAAAATAAAATAAAAAAATAAAAAATGGAAAAAATCATTGGACGGTTCAAAAGTTCGAGTCAACGGTTTGCTGACCAAATCAACAAATTTTGGCAAAATAACGGTTCTAGGATAAAAATGGACGGTTGTCCGGTTTGGTCTGTTCTGGCCACCAGTTTTCGAGTCAACAGTTCAATCGTCCGATTCAAACGATTGGCCCTTATTTTGACTTAAAAGTTTTAAAAATTAAGTAAAATAAAAAATAGCAAAAAAATCATTAAACGGATCGATGATTTGACCACCCAGGTAAACAAAATCGTTCAAAGATTTTAGACCAAAAACCGGGTTTAAAGTACAACGAAACTGGTTGTCTAAATACCGTGCAATTCAACAACGGTTCAAAAACTATGAATAAACTTAAAAGCTTTTCTATTTTTTAAGTTGAAAAAATAAAATAAGTAATGGAAGACACTCCCGTCTTTACTTCTTTTTTGTACGCCACTTAAACCATCTACTTGCGTTGTTGAAGTTGTAACATGTAGTCAGTTGAAAAAATAAAATAAGTGCAGCCCGCGTTGTAAGTTGTAACATGTAGTCAGTAGATGTACAGCCCAGCTGTTGGAGGCCCATTGACCATATCTAGACTCATCTTGGCCTTGGAGCCAGGCCATTGTAGTTCATTCTGGTCCAGCCCAGCACACTTCACAATTATGACGAGCCCAGCCCGGCAAATTGTAAACCCTCTTCCGCTCTCCGGCTCTCCCCTCCCCTGCATCAGCTTAAACCCTGGTAGGCTAGAACACTGGGAGAACTGAAGAAGTAGCCTCCCAGCAAATATCAAATGATGCAAAGCTGTTTCAGTTTCCATCCCTAAGAACTCACTTTGTAGATCCTGCAAGGACCCGAAGATAATGGCTTACAGATCCTCCTCATCTGCTACCATGATATCTCCATGGAGTTATTCCATTTCGTCTAGGGCCTCTAAAGTTCTCAGTTTATCATCATTCAACTTGCTTCATGGGTTTTGTACAATTTCCTTCACGGAGCCTCCTCCAAGCGAACCCATCTCTGCCAGCGAAGGAAGCCCAAGTTTGAATGAAGCAAATGCAGTTTCAGAGCCGCCGCCGGTGGGGGCTGAACTAGATACGGCGGCGACCGGAGAAGGAACGATCCCTAAAAGAACCCCTAGAGCTAAGCTTCGAAACCCAGAAAAGTTAGAAGATATAATCTGCCGAATGATGGCGAATCGAGAGTGGACGACTAGACTACAGAATTCGATCAGAAATTTGGTCCCTCAATTCGATCACTCGCTTGTTTGGAATGTTTTGCATGGCGCCCGGAACTGGGAACACGCTCTGCAATTCTTCAGGTGGGTTGTAAAGACTGGCTACCGCCATGACCGTTCGACCACCTTGAAGATGATGGAGATCCTGGGCCGACATTCGAAGCTCAATCATGCCCGGTGCATCCTATTCGACATGCCTAAGAAGGGCATCGAATGGGATGAAGACTTTTTTGTTGTTCTTATCAATAGTTACGGGCAAGCTGGAATTGTCCAGGAGTCGGTAAAGATTTTTCAGAAGATGAACGAACTGGGTGTTGAACGGACGATCAAATCTTATGATGCCTTGTTCAAGGTGATCATGCGCCGGGGACGATATATGATGGCGAAACGGGTTTTCAATGCAATGCTCAGAGAAGGGGTGACGCCTACGCGCCATACATACAATATTATGCTGTGGGGTTTCTTCCTGTCGTTGAGGGTGGAAACTGCAAATAGGTTCTTCGATGACATGAAGAACCGGGGGATTGATCCTGATGTGATCACATACAACACTATGATTAATGGGTATTTCCGGGTTAAGATGCTGGAAGAGGCTGAGAAGCTCTTCATGGAAATGAAGGCTAGGAATTTAATTCCAAATGTGATTAGTTATACGACTATGATCAAAGGTTATGTCTCTATGGGCCGCGTTGATGATGCTTTGAGATTGTTTGATGAGATGGGTTCCTTCGGAATTAAGCCAAATAGTAATACTTACTCAACACTGTTGCCGGGACTCTGTGATGCAGAGAAAATGACTGAAGCCCGAAACCTTGTGAAGGAGATGATGGAAAGACACCTTGCCCCAAAGGACAATTCAGTTTTCCTAAGGTTGATATCTTCCCAGTGCGAATCAGGTAATTTGGAGTGGGGTGATGATGTGCTTAAAGCGATGATTCGATTGCATATTCCAACAGAAGCAGCACATTATGGTGTTTTGATTGAAAACTTTTGCAAGGCAGGGGCGTTTGACAGAGCTGTTAAGTTACTGGATAAGGTGATTGAGAAGGAGATTCTATTGAACCCATCTAGTTCATCAGAGATGGAGCCAAGTGCTTACAATCCAATTATTGAGTATCTATGCAATAATGGGCAGACAGGGAAGGCAGAAACTTTTTTCCGACACCTGATGAAAAGGGGTGTTCAGGATCCGGTTGCATTCAATAACTTGATTTGTGGTCATTCAAAGGAGGGGAATCCGGAATCTGCTCTTGAGATCCTTAAAATCATGAACAGACGTGCAGTACCATCAGTTGCTGATGCCTACAGGTTGCTTGTTGAGGGTTTCTTGAGGAAAGGTGAGCCAGCTGATGCAAAGACTGCTTTGGATGGTATGATTGAAAGTGGGCATCTTCCTGACCCATCACTGTTTAGGTCAGTTATGGAAAGTCTATTTGATGATGGAAGGGTTCAAACTGCTAGTCGGGTGATGAAAAGCATGATAGAGAAAGGGGTGAAGGAGAATATTGACTTGGTTCCTAAAATTTTGGAGGCCCTTCTCATGAGGGGTCATGTTGAGGAAGCCCTGGGTCGAATTGAACTATTGATGATTAATGACTGCATTCCTGATTTTGATAGTCTTCTGTCAGTTCTCTGTGAAAAAGGAAAGACAATTGCTGCTTTCAAATTGTTAGATTTTGGTCTGGATAGAGATTGTAACATTAGCTTTTCAACCTATGATAAGGTATTGGGTGCACTTTTAGCAGCAGGAAAGAGCCTCAATGCATATGCAATAATGTGTAAGATTATGCAGAAAGGTGGGATCTCTGATAGAAGTAGTTGTGAGGATTTGATCAGGAGCCTAAATGCAGAGGGAAATACAAAGCAGGCAGATGTTCTCTCAAGGATGATCATGGGAGAGAAAAGCATCCAGAAGGGAAAGAAGGGGAAGAAACTTTCTGCAATTGCACATTGAGTTCCATGTACTTTTCCTAACCTGAGAAAACTGAGAGCAAGTTGGATGGTTGGGTTCTGCTTTAAGAATTATTATGGGCTAAATAAGTCATGGCAACGTTTTTTTTTTCAATTCTGGGTTTTCTTTTTCTAGTTTTTAGGGTTACTGTCTTTTTATTTTCTGTTTTTTGATTGTAGGGGATATTTGGATCTTTGAGTTTAAATTATTAGCGAAATATCAATCGGAGCTTTATTATCCTGTTTTTTTTTGTTTTCATTTTCAGTAAGAGAACAAGTTGAATAGCCAAGCATTATCCAGAAAGTTCTGGTATGCTTCTAGTACACAAGATTTTTTACCATCAATAGGGTTTTGATTAAACTATGACAACTTTTAGATTTTGTTTCTTGTATGGTGTTCAGCTAATCTGTGCCTTGTTACTGATAAAGGAAAAAATTTGTCTGTGCAGTCTCACTGTTAAGAATGGGTTTCACTATACACAGAAATTGCATATAAACTGGGTTTTTTTTTTTTTGTGCTGTTGAATGTGTTCTATCACAAGGTCTGTCACTATATAGAGATTCCCTTAACACACCAGATTTAGCTAGCTGATTTGCCAACATATTTAATTCTCTAGGGGTCAAAATAAGACTTACATTAATTGGAGCAAGGATATCTCTGGCCTCATCATCCAAGTAGTGAGCCAGCCTCCAGGGGCCACCCTCAATCTTTCTTAACCACATGATTGTGTTTGCTGAGTCACCTTCAATGGATAAAGAGGAGATGCTCAAATCTCTAGCAATCTTGAGCCCTGTAAGGGCATCCAGAATTTTATCCTTGGAGGAATTAGCAGGATGCACTTATGTCTTGGTGACTTGGGGAAGCAACAACAGGATGCACCCATCGGATAATTTGTTTTTTTTTTTTTGTTTAATTAATAGCATGCCTGTGTTTTATTAGAGGGTCCCAAGTAAGTGTCGTGTTGTGACCATGTGAACACATCAAAACCAAATCACCTAGGCAAGCAATTGTTGGGTGATTTGGTTGATAGTATGTCATGTTTTATTAGAGGATCAAAAGAAAGTGTTGTGACCATGCAAACTCATTGCTCCACATCTTAAGCTATCCTTGTATTTCTTGATTGTCAAAGTAAGGCAATGGACCCTACAGGCATAGTTTTCAAGGCGTCAAGGCAAGGCTAGGTGATGGGTTTTTTTTTTTAGAGTTCTTCCATGCTTCTCAATTAAAGTTTTAAATCTTCAAGGGTTCAAGGCAGCATACATGTTCATTGAACCCTAACAAATGAGAAAAGCAATAAAAAGTGTTCGAGGATAAAACCTATTCAAGGACCTCACTTAACAACTTAAGCTTTTAGGTTCAATGGTTCTTTGAGATGGTATCAGAGCCACTTTGACCAAGTGGTCTAGTGTTCAATTCTCGTAACCCCCATTATAATTAAGTAAGTTTCAGCACAAGGTATGGGTGGGCCTGTGCTGTCCACGCTTCAAGCCCAATGGGCTTTCATGTGAGGGGGCATGTTAGAGAATAAAACCTATTCAAGGACCTCACTTAACAGCTTAAGCTTTTAGGTTCAATGGTTCTTTGAGAAAAAGAAATTAGTATTTTAACCTAAACTGAATAATTTAGTTTAATAATCCAACTTTGAGGCAAACTTTTGAGAAGCAATTAAATGGGGGCAGGTTCTCTGGTTAGAGTGTATTGTCATGATGAAAAAATGAAGAGATCTGTTTTATTTCTGTGTTGGCAATCTCTCATCACCTTTTTATATTTTATTTTGTAAGCTGCTATAATCTTGTTGTTTTTCCTTCTCCAATAAAAAATTATTTTTTATTTACTACCAAAAAAGGAAGTCAGCCCCCTGTTCTCAGCTAGGTTTTTGTGGAAAGATTTGACTGAAGATCTTCCATCCTTGGTCCACTTCCAATTTCTCTCATCAGGCTGATGCAGGAACAATTTGTGCTCCTGTAACTGCTGCAGCAATCTGGACAGGTCTGAAATTTCTCATTCATTCAGGTGCCTCCTGAAAGTGGGGCAGCAGATTCGTTTCCTCCCAACATAGTCCCATTGATCAGCCACTCGTGCACCCCTCTCCTCTGTTATTAAATATAGGGATAGGTACTCCTCCATCAATGCCCTGTTACCACACCAGTTGTCTTGCCAAAAATGAACCCTTCCATCACCTACTTTCAATTTCACCTCATGCAAGAAACTCGAGTGTGCCTTTTCTATTCCTTTTCAGATGGAGCAGCCATCAGAAGCACTTGAGCTGCCCAGGTAGCAAACATCATTGCTGAAACCATATTTCTCCACTATTAACTTCCACCACAGATTTTGGGGCTGTGTTAAATAACCAGAACCATCTGCCTAGTAGAGCTGTATTCATTTGACTTGGACTTCGCACCCCTAGTCCTCCCTCCCATGGCCAGCAACCTACACACCTCCAACTGAACTTGGTGCATCTTGTGCTCCCTGTCTCTTCCACTTCAGAGAAAATCCCTCTCTAACTTTTCCAACCTGTCTGCCACACCAGTAGGGATTGGGAATAAGGGCAAAAAGTAAGTAGGGAGGTTTACTGGGGAACCTTTCAGGCATGAATCTGTTCAGTTTTTGCTTCTTTGTCAGATATTTTTATTCTATTTTTGGAAGGGGGGGGGGGTGATTTAGAATAGGGATCTATCTACTGGATGTTGAACAATCATTTAGAGATCTGTTGCTTTCTCCACATTTATTCACGTGTACTCATGTTTCTCTTTTACAATCTTGGGTTTCAGTATCAGCATTTTGTATAGGAATTAATTTTCTTTGTTTGTTCTATACTTTTCTGTTCTTTCAGCTTCTCCTTCAGACTCATGATCTAAAAGCCCAAAGATGTGATACAGATTCACACCATTTATTGCTCTAATCAAGATAACAAAGATTATTGAACAGAGATAATGGTTGAACATTACAGTTAAAAGTGATCAGATAAAATGATTTCTTAGACACTAGTGTGATTTCACGGATACAGTGTAGTGCCCTGTGTTGTTACTAGTTAAAACAAATAATACCTTTAATCCATTTTCTTCCAGTAGTCACATGCATTTCTATAGACTTTCCCAGAAATGTCTTAAACTATTACACAAATAATGCCTTTAATAGATGTGTAATGCATTCATTTATAATCAGGCAAAATATTAAACAACTTCCGGTATCTATACTTCACCTGATTCAAAAAAAAGTTAAAAAATTGATGAATTATTCTTTGTTGTGAATTTGCAAGGGATTATACAGGTGAATTATAAAAAATGTGGTCTTTTTGGTTATGTTAATTCATATGTATTATAGTTTGACATGTGCCTATGGCAACCTTTTATTTGCTTGTAAAGTTACTGGTACAAGAAGCTAGTGTGATTTAGAATTATCGTTTTAGTAAGAGAGATTGTTGGGAGTTATACCCTTCCCTCATCTTCTTTTAATCAACCCTCTGTTGAAGGAGGGTGATTTTAGGAACACCTGATGATTGATGTAAAATAGGTAGATGTGAAAGAGATTTTAGTAGTTTTAAACGCATTAAGAAAGAGATTGGAATAAGAGAATAATGGGGAAGTATATTGATCTTTTGGCATGGGAAGAGGGGGGTTGAAGAAGCATAGAAAGAGGCTTGGGGTTTATAATATATCCGGTAGGCCGGCAATCTGAACCTGTGGCTGACTATGGTAGAGGGGATGGTTCAGTGCCTCTCCTACTATTCTCCCATTTAGCATTTGTTATTGCTAGGTTCAGATTTTTTATATGTTTATATGTTCTTGACCATCTTTCCCAGTTTAAAAATTGGTTCTCTTGGTTTATAGGAAATGGGATGAATTTTAACTTGCTTATAGGAAATGGGATTTATGGATTGGACCATCATGAAAACTAGACATGAAATGGCATGATTAAATATGTGGGTAATCTTAAATGTCATGATAAACAGTGATTTTGATATTTGGGTATCTAGGCAGGGGTCATTGGATAACAGCATTTCATAACCTTGGCTTGCACATATATGGATGCTGATATTATACTTCTATAAGTTTATGTTGCTTTGGGTTACTCTAAACCCAACAAAAAAAAGGACTACTCTTCCTGTTATGGCCGTTTTAAGCTCCATTTTTATTATGTACTGTGAACAGTGTTTAATGCAGTGTGCCAGATGTGACAGCCTACATCAAAACTGTCTTTCTTTCTCTTAGGGTGTTTTTGGGTTTTTTCTGACACGGAAAGGAGAAATAAATATTTAACACTGGTTACTTTCCTTTGTGGTTACATGAAAAGCACTTATTTGGAGTCTTGTTAGAGGGAAGTTTCACTTTTATTTCTCTCTTTCTGAATGATGCAAGGTTGGTGACTTGGTGCTGCCTTGCTTGGGTAGTTCTTGGAGATGAGGATGCCTCTATATTGGTAATGACCTAGGGTTTTCTTAAAATGGTGCTAGTGTGGTTTAGCTGAAAAAAGTTATCTATTGTCTTGCTTACCATGTTATAGCCTCATATGAGGTTGATTGAAATGATACCCAGAGTGTGGCAATGAGAATATTTTTTCTATGCTGAAATAGAACATATTTTTTGAAAGGCTTTTTGAAATGGTACGAGACGGTGTTGCTTGAATTGATGCCAGTGTGCCATGACCATTCACTATTTTATGCAATGCTTCTTTTGTCAGATATGCATCTGTTGCATTTATGAAGTTATGCTACATGTTTTATTAGCTCCGCTACTGTTCAAATGTTTTCTATGAACAATGTAATGTCTAACCAATGTTTTTCAGCCTTGGTGAATATGTGCTTATTTTATCTTCTATTTTGTCTTTGTAGTTTTCCTAATGTATGGGTCTTCAGATACTAAATATGTAGGGTCCATTACATGGCAATCAATTAAATACGTAGGTTCCAATTTTTAACATATTATTTTCTAACACGTGTACCCATATATATAACATTTTTAACGTATCATCTATGTATCTATACTAAAACGAAAGGGGTTGGGCCAAATTGCTGAGAATTTGGCATTTGGAATCTAACAGTAACTTGTGTTGTTGTTTGCCGTTTTGCCCTCAAAGGACCTTCATATTTACAATCCCTTGGATTGGATGGTGAGAATTGAAAAGTGGGTCTGCACATGCCATATTCGAATGATGAGAATTGAAACCCTCTTTTTTTTTTGATAAATGAGTGATTTTTTATTCAAAAAAGATCAATATGATAATATAATACAGACTGCCCAAGGAGAGACATGAGCTGGTACCTCTCCTAAACAACAACATTGTATTACATCAGACTAGGAAACAGAAATTTACAGAGCTGCCCAGAATAAATGTTCCCTTGATGCCCCTTGCTTAGTTAACCCATCCGCTAAGGTATTAGCTGTTC